GTGTGTGTGTGTGTGTGTGTGTGTGTGTGTGTGTGTGTGTGTGTGTGAATGTATCTACTCCTCAGCTCTTCCTTCAAAGAAAAGGAATAGACATAAAATCCATCTCTTACTTCAAGGCTCAGCTAAGGTGCCTCCTCCTCTGTGGAGCCTTCTCTGAATACACACACACACACACACACACACACACACACACACACACATGCACGCAATGCACACAGCTGAAAGTGCTCTGTCCCTCTTCAAATTTCTTTTTCCCTTTCTAAAAATTTATGCACAGACTTGTTCTTTTTTTTCTTTCAGTTCCCAAATTCTCTCCACCCTTCTACCCCCTCTCCCACCCATTGAGAAGGCGAGAAAAACAAAACCTATTACAAATATGTGCAGATATGCAAAACAAGTTTCTACCTTAACTGTGTTCCAAAAAAGGGAAAGAAATAGGAAAAAATGCTTCAATTTGCACTCTGAGTCCATCACTGCGCCTTTAGTTTGGTTGAGATAGGGAAAAGACCTTGCCAGAAAGGAAAAGAAAGGAAGGGAAGAAGGGAAGAGAAGGGAAAGGAAGGACAGAGGGAAGGGGAGGGGTGGGGAGTGGAAAGGAGAGGATCTGGGGGATAGTCCATCTTGTTCAAGGGACAGCCAGGTAGCCAATGTCACTGGACTATAGAGTATGTGAAGAGGAATAAGGTATAAGAAGCCTGGAAAGATAGGAAGAGGCCAGGCTCTGAAGGGCTTTAGAAGCCAAACAGAAGATTTTCTGTCTTGTATTGGAGTTGATAGGGAATCGCTGGTGTTCACTGGCCAAGTGATGATGTAGCCAGACTTGGACTCTGGGTAAATCCATGACGGCCAAGTGGAGGATGGAGGGGCTGGGGAGGGACTTGCTGTAGTAATCCAGGTGGGAGGTGATGAGGGCCTGCCCCAGGGTAGGGGTGTCAGTGTCAGAGGGAAGGGGGGGCGTTTTGAAGGCAGAAACAACACATCTTGACGGCTGACTGGGTATCAGGGGCCAGAGAGAGGGAGGAATCCACAGCTTGTCAGGAGGCGACCGTGCAGTTTCCTGGCCCCACTTCTTTCTCCTGCCCTCTCTCTGCCCTTTGCCTGGCCCAGGCAGGTAGTGATAGGAAGGACACACAGTGCCTGGAAAGCCTGTGGACAGCGTCCCCTTTTTGTCAGGATCTCCCCTGAGTCGCCTGGGTCTCCATTGATGCTGACACTCCCTGTTCAGGCATCAGACAGAAGGGCATTGACAATATTAACAAAGTTTCTAGATCCAGACCAATCCACGGCAATCTAGACTGCCAGTCACTTCCTGCTCTAAACTTGACCATTCACCTTTGACATCTGGAAGGGGCTGGTGGATGGAGCGGAGACAGAGGGCTGGCCTTGGGCCAGGAAGGTGTGGGTTTGAATCCTGCATCTGATCCACTTCACCTGGAGGAGCCTTGATTTCCTGCCTCATCCCATGGAGACAACACCTGCAGCTCCTCATTTTTTAAATTATTTTTTCCCCAGTTACATGTTAAAACAATTTTTAAACATTTTGGAGGGGCTTAGGCAATGAGGTTAAGTGACTTGCCCAGGGTCACACAGCTAGTAAATGTTATGTGTCTGAGGCCAGGTTTGAACACAGGTCCTTCTGAATCCAGGGCCGGTGCTCTATCTACTGTGCCATCTAGCTGCCCCCTAAACATTTTTTTAGAGTTTTCAGTTCTAGATTGTATCCCTCCCTCCCTTTCCCCCTCCCTGATATGGTAAGCAATCTGATATAGTTTATACATGTGTAATCATGTTAAACATTCCATATAAGTCATTTTGTTCAAGAAGACTCAAATAGAAAGAACAAAAAAGAAAAGAAAGAGAAAGCGAAAAATAGGATGTTTTGGTCTGTCTTCAGATGCAATCTTTCTCTGGAGGTGGATAGCATTTTTCTTCATGGGTCCTTTGGGATTGTCTTGGGTCGTTGTGTTGCTGAGAGTAACGAGGTCATTCACAGTTGTTCATCAGACAGTGTTGCTGTTACTGTGTACAGCATTCTCCTGGTTCTGCTCACTTCACTCTGCATCTGTTCATGTAAGTCTTTCTAGGTTTTTCTGAAACCATCCTCTCTTCATTTCTTATAGCATAATAACATTCCATCACAATCATGTACCACAGCTTGTTTATTTAGCCGTTCCCCAATTGATGGGCATCCCTCTGATTTCCGATTCTTAGCCACCACAGAAAGTTCAGCTCCTCCTTCTCAGGGCTTAGGTGAGATGAGGTATAGAAAGGATTTCGCAAACCTTACGGGCAGGTAGTAATGGGAGTTGACAACCAGCATGTGGAACATTTTTGGAAAGATTCAAACAGTGGGAAAATCCCCGAGAAGCAGAGCCAGGCAGGTGGGAGGAGGGGAGCAAGACGCATGAGAATCGTCTGCAAGGACGAGGGGTTTGAACCACAGAGGAGGCTTGGAGGGAAGTGGCCCATGCCTTCAGGTCCCGGAAAGGTCCTCAAGGGGAAGAGGGATCAGGTTTGTTTTGTTTGGCCTGGGAGCGGAATGGGGACAGGTGGAAGGTGGGGAGGAGGATCACGTTTGATGTTTGTCAAAGAAGCTTTCGGCAATGAGAAGTGTCCCAGCAAGCAGCGGCTTCCCCTTCCCCTGGAGGTCTCCCCGTGGCACCTGGAGGAGCCCTTCCTTGCCGGGGTGTTGGAGAGGGAATTCCTTTTCAGATCGAAATCGTTGGCCTAGTTGCCTCTGAGGTTCTTTCCAGTGCAGAGATTCAGATTCATTGAAGCCTAACTCAGAAACATACTAGCAGTGTGACCTCTCTCAGCCTCGTTTATCCTAACTGTAAAATGGGAATAATAATATGTGTGCTATCTACTTCCTTACCTGAGGAAAGTGCTTTGCAGCCTGGTAAAGTGCTCTAAAAGTGGGAGTTATCATTGTTATGATGTTCCGTTTGGGCTTTTCTCCCAAAGTATCTTGGGCCAGAATTACCCTGGTCAACAGTCATCACTCTGGTGAAAATGGGTTTTTAACCAACTTCCACACAATGGCGTCCAGGGAACTGAAGCCAGGCCCTAGAACAGATCCCTTTGAATGTGGTGCGGGTTGTTTTGGTGATACTTCCTTGTAATTCTTTTCCTCAACCCTCCTGAGCTGGGAACCTGAGCATTTGGGGACTGTTTGGTTTCATCTTATTTATCCAGGATCTAGCATTTGCCTGGAGAAAGAGCTCCCAGAAGAAATCACTGCTGAGATATTCACTGCTGACATTCTTGGCTTGCCCATTCCTGAAGACATCTGAAAAGGCCACCGAAGTGGGAGGGACCCAGGAAACACAGGACTTGGTCTTTTCCCCAAGGGATGCTGCTCTCCACTTAACACACTTCCCCCAACCCCCCACCCCCCCCCCCCCCCCCCCCCCACTGATCCTTTTAGGGATTTTTAGGATTACAAGCAAATTTCTGTAAAGCACAGAAGTCGAGATGTTGGAAAGGCCAGTATACTTCTAGTTCACAAAGCCCATGAACGGGGGAATTGGGTTAAGAATGAAACATGAAAATTAAAGCAAGATAAGCTGTGAATTGCACATAGTTATTTGGGTCTGTCCTTGTTCTCTGGAGGTGATTTTTCCAGGAGACCAGAGAGAGAAAGGCCTCTGAGAACTGGTCTATGGGTAGGGTGGGAGTCAGGGGGAGTGGAGGGGTTGGCACACAGGAAGCACCTTCTGTCACTGACTTCCTCTGCAAGACACAAGACAAGCTACATTCCCAGAGGAGTATGTGTGGCCCCATGTTAATTCTCTTAAGTCACCCATGACTACCCAAGTGAGTCATCAGCATCAATTGTGTGGGCTTTGTTTGGAGGGGTGGGTCCCTTCCAGAATTGGCTTATCTCATCCGGATGGGGATGGCCGTTAACATTAGGCATCAACAGCCATGCCTAATCCAAACAGGAACCTCAGAAGAGAGGCTAAAGAACAAGGCACACGTCCCAGACTGCCCACATGTGCTGTCGAACCACAAACCACCCCACCAGGGCGGCACATCCCAGCTGGGTCTGGGCTGGTCTTCGCCTCTATCTCCCCTGGGCACATTGTGTTTGCTCTCTTGTGTCTCCCCCGGCATGGATGACCCTGGGCCTGACACAGGGAGGAGTTTAGGACCGCGATTCAGCAACTTCAACGGGTTGTTCTGTGAACCGATAACAATTCACATTTCCATGGCACTTAAAGTTTGCAAAACACTTTCATCAGTGTATTGGTTGAGGTATTGCACTTGATATTTACCAAGTGCTTTGTGTATGTTATCTCATTTGATCCTCAGAACAATGTAGGTGCTGTTATCATCCCCATTTTACAGATGGGGACACTGAGGCAGAGAAGTGACTGGCCCAGAATCACACAGCAAGGAAGTGTCTGAGGCTGCATTTGAACCCAGGTCTTCCCGACTCCAAGTCTGGCACTCTGTCCTCTGCACCACCTGACTGGTAGGCAGTGCAAGTATTATTCCAATTTTATAGATGAGGAAACAGAGAGTCAGAGAAGTGAAGGGACTTGCTCAGGGCCACACAACTTCAGAACATCAAAGCTTAAACTCTGGGCACCCCATTTTAGAAAGGACCCCAAAAAACTGGATGAAGAAGGGCCTGGAGATCATGATATAGAAGACCTGGCTGAAAGAATTAGGGAGCGGTCATCAAGCAGAAAGGAAGGGTTGAGGTGTGGGCAGGGGGATGGGGCTGCCTCCAGAGCTGCTGGCTCCCCCCAGGGAAGGACTTCGAGCAAGCAAAGGCTGCTGGGTATGCAGCAGGTGGGGGGTTCTCGTTCGGAACAGGTGGGGCTGGACATGGTGCCTCTGAGGTTCCTCCCAGATCTGAAATTCTGTGAGTCTGCCCTCTAACTCCCAGACTGATGCTTTCACACCTTCCCTGTACGGGACACCTGGGATGCAAATGCAGGAACCTGCCTTCGAGGAGGGAACAAGAATGAGATGAGGCAGCTAGGTGGCATAATGGATAGAGCGCTGGGTCTGGAGTCAGGAGGACCTGAGTTCAAATCCAGCCTCAGACACTTACTAGCCGTGTGACCTTGGACAAGTCACTTAACCCCTGTATGCCTCGGTTTCCCCAACAAGAAAATGGGGACAATCATTGCACCTAACCCCCCCCCCCCATTGTTGTGAGAATCAAATAAGATGATGTTTGTAATGGGCTTACCCCAGTGCCTGACACATAGTAGAGGCAATATAAATGCTAGTGATGATGATGATGATGTTGATGGTGATGGTGGGGGTGGTGGTGGTGGCGGTGATAAGATATGCTGATTTTGCTGCAGACGACTAAATGTGGTAAGTGCAGAGGAGAGATCCAGAGTGCTATGATTACAACAGTGCTTAACCCTTCAGATAATGCCCCTGGCTGGTCTCCCTGCCTCCAGGCTCTTTTCTCTCCAATCCAGCTTTTGCTCAGATTCCAGATTGATATTCCTAAAGATCAGGTCTGATCATGTCACTCCCCTGTTCAAGTAATTTCCTGTTCCCTCTAGAATAAGATACAAATTTCTCTTTTTTAGCATTTAAAGCATTTCTCAATCTGGCTCCGGCTTCTCTTTCCAGGCCAATTACACATTTACTCCCTCCTGCATCTACTAATGATATCTCGCTTGGGAAAATGTGCTAAGTTTTACTCTGTCCATATGCCCATTCATCCACGGTCTCTAAAGTCTATTCTTTGCTAGAGAGGCCAACAATGGAGATGGAGTTCTTGATCCAATTAAACAACTTCCTTCTATGTGGGTGGGCGTTATAAGTGTGAGATGAAATAGCAAAGCCCTCAATTAGGTACAAAGCACTCCCACCTCCACCGGGCTCCCATTGGAAAAATGGTGCCTCGAGAGTCTTTGTAACCCATTGGAACATCAGACGGAGCCGTCTGCCCTAAACCAGCCTGTGTCACGGTGACCTGAGATGGCGGGAGCCAAGATTCCTGAAACACTGGCTGGATTATGTCCTTTTATAAAACCCACGGAACACCACGAATCAATTATGCCTCTGCCCAGGGCCTAATGGGGATAGTACCAAATCGGCAAAATGTTCTCAGAGACACTTTAGGAAGAATTACATGGAGATGATCGGTTCTTTCCAACCAACAGTCTTCAACGTTGGATGCGATGTGGGCACTAATGTTTTAGAGGTGTTTGGTACTTCAGCAACAGGCTGGATGACGGGTGTTCCAAAGGGGATTTATGCCTGAGTAGGAAGACCTCTGAGGTTCTTTCCAACTCAGTGGTTCCTTTCATTCATGGTTGTTTTCTTATCTGCAAATATACGCCTCCTCTGTGCAATGAAAAGCCAACAGGACAATCAAGCCTAACATTAGCTCATGCTCCAAATATACCACAAGGTTACTAACGAGTCAGGCTTCTCTGACACGACACAGCAGGGCAATGAAATCTCCTTCCGTTTAGAATATCAGCCCATGTTTTTAGCTTTTTTTTTTTTTAAGTCTCTTCTTAGCCATGAGACAGAGGAAGGGTTCTCGAGGCACTTACAAGAATTCCATTCAACAAACATTTATTAAGCACCTACTATATGCCAGGCACTGTGCTAGATGTTTTGATACAAAATTACAAAAATGAAACATGTCCCTGCCCACAAAGAGCTTACTTTCTACTGAGGTGAAACAGTAGGATCACAAAGAAACAAACAAAATTAATCGGAGCAGTGTCCCACCCCAAAATATTGATTTTGGTTTTGAAGAATAGGCTGTGTGTTTTGATGGCCAGTGGTCTTTCCCTCGAGTTCGAATTGCCAACCAAATGGTACGTCGTGTGAATTTTTCCCTCCCTTTTCTGTTATAGCTGTAATAAGAACTGATATTTGAACTCACATTATTTTAAATGATCCCTAGGGGACCATAGAATCTCAGATCTACTGGAAGGAACCACAAAGACCATCTAATTAGTTTTATAAAGGGGAAACTGAGGCCTAACAGGTGAGGAGGGCCTGAATGAGGATGGTGGCCATTGTGTTGGAGAGAAGAGGACAGACTCGATAAGACCTGCCCACCGAATGGATATGGGAGGATGGGAAAAGGGGTGAAGCAGAAGGAAGGGGGAAGGATCACGCTGAAGGTGTGACAGAAGGGAAGTGAGCTTAGGTTTGGGCCTGTTGAGTCTGAGACAGGACACGGAGGTGGAGATGTTCAGCAGGCAGGCAGTGACTTGGGGCCAGACCCTGAGAGATGCGCCTGCTAAGTCCATCTCCTTGGGAGTCAGCTGCGTAGATATGATCACTAAGCCTTGGGAAGTGACGAGATCCCAGAGATCCCAAGGAGAGCTCCTAGGTGGAGAAGGGAAGAGGGCCCAGGACAGAGCCCCGTTCTGGGGGGCTGGACCGGAATGATTGTGCGGAGGAGACTGAGAAGGAACTGGCTGACAGGCAGGAGGAGAACCAAGAGCAGGGGGGCTCCAGGAGGCAGAGACGCCGGTATCAGAAGCCTGGGGTCAGGCAGGCAGAGGGAACGGTTTGTGCGGAGGTTTCTCCGAGTTCTCTGATGATGGGTAACGGGGTGCTCCAGCAGGATGCCTCGCCACAGCCTGGCTGCGTGTTTGAGGACGGAAGGGCAGCGTTCCCCTCAAGAGCCGTCAGGATGATGCCGAAGCCAGCAAAGGGAGCGGTGCGAGCCAGCGTCCCCGGGCGGCTGGCTACTCTCCATTTCTTTGATTTATTCAAGACTGGGCAGCTCAGATCTTTGGGGAGACCTTCCCACTAGCTGATCTCTCCTGCCAATCCAGCCTGCTGTCATACCAGGGAAGCAGGTCTGCCAGACGAGTGAAAACAGGACTAGCTTTACTGCCGACCCTCACCAAAGAGGTTCGGTGGCCATGTGGACGCCTCTCTCCTCCTCGGCCCTGCAGGGAAACTGCGTTCTCCTTTAGTGAGCTAAAGCTCGGAGATGGTTAGAACTGCATGGAGCCATAGCGTCCAGTGGTACAAAGAGCATTGGGCAAGGAACCAAGTCGTTGCTTCACCGTTTACTAACCTCGGCAAGTCTCTAATGGCTAAAGCACTGAATCTGCAGTCAGAATGCTGGAGTTCGAATCCCAGCCCGGTCCTTTAGTATCCGTGTGACCTTCCTCTCTTAGGGCCTCGGTTTCTTCGTTCATCAGATAAGAAGCCTCCTTTCAGATCCAGAATCCTTTCAGCTTAAATCATGTCACCTGTCCTGACCCTCAGCTTCCTCCTGTCCAAAGTGAGGGGCATCATAATGCAAACACGGGAAAATAGAGAAAGCACTGGTTCTGGAATCTGAGGACCTGGGTTCGAATCCTATTTGGATGTTTACTTACCTGGGTGATGTTAACTTTCTCTGGGCCTCAATTCCTTCATGCATAGA